ATATATATATATATATATATATATATATATATATATATATATATATATATATATATATCTATAGATATCTCTATCTCTCTATATAGATATATATATATATAATTATAAAATAATATATATATATATATATATATATATATATATATATATATATATATATATATATATATATATATATATATATATATATATATATATATATATATATATATATATATATATATATATATATATATAGCAAGAAAATGCTTTGTGATGTGCATTGTGCTTTAATTAGTTAACAATATTAACCTTTCTGAAAAGAGATCCTATGTTTTACGAAGATCAAGCAAAAACCATTTGTTTCTATGTGTAAACATCTATAATTATTCATATCAACTCAAATTACAACTCTGCAGTGTGTTATCTTCCAACAAAACAGAAATTTAAAAGCCATTCTCGATTCAATTCTGGATAGAATATAGCACTAGTGTTTTTGCAACACATTAAAACTGTAAGGATAACCAACACAGCATTGCACATTAATTTAAATGCTGATAATAAAATAAGTAAATAATAATAAAAGCAATGATGTTTCTATAATAGCAATGTGATGTTCTTTGTTGGTGTTTATAAGCAGCATTTGATTGACAGCTTAATAACAGCAGCTCTAAAGCCGAGCGCAGAGACCTATAATCAGATCCATGTCAGAGTCACACTCAGACTAACTGCACTTCACAGCAGCACACACATAAACATTGGTGTTGGTGATTTATGGGGACTTCATAGGCATAATGTATTTTATATTGTAAAACGAACACTACTTATAGATCCTTCCCCAATCCCATTAATCATTTGAATGTGAATAGACCTCATTAAGTACATCTTTAAGCAATTTGAATTATGAGGACATCATAACCCAGCTTAAGAGAGTACAATGAGGTCATACACATCCTTATACAAAATGTTGTCCTTGTAAATCACGAAAAGCCGTACACACACACACACACACACAGTATTTTTTAAAAATAATAAGACATGACTTTGTAAATATATATAAAAATGGTAAAGAGCTATACTGAATTGTGGTAAAAACTTCACAATTTTTAATAAGAGAAAATGGCAAAAATAAGCTTTTTTCCCCCACTTTAGAAGTCAAAAGCGACCATCAACTATTCATATAGTACCAACATTTTCTATATATCTTCCTTTGTGTTCTACAAAAACAAATAATTGTCTTAAGTGACATTTTTGAAAAAAAAAAAAGTTATTTTATTTACAGTTAATAACCTTTTCATTATCTATAATATGAAACACTCTATTATTATCATACTCGACCCCAGGTGAAGATAGCAAACTTCTCTTAGTGCACTTACTTTTGACCCATTCATCCACACACACAGGCACTTTCAAGGCATTTTCCCCTATTATGAAAGTCAATGGTGACCATCACCTATCAAAATATCTTTCTTTAGACTGTAAACAATTATTGTTGCCTTTATTTTTTTAGTTGAATCAAATGAACTTTTCTTGTCATCTTAACTTACATTAATGAAACTGACTACACTGAAACAATTCAATTAAACTTTGTACTACTTAAAGAATTTAGGTTAAACCTGATGAACTTAAAATATCACTGTTAACAACTTCTGTAAATTACACAGTATTTAACTGTAATATGAACTGTATTTTACTGTAGGACCGATATCCAGTATGTTACTCCATTTTAGGGTGCTTTCACACCTGCCTTATTTAGTTCGATTGAATCGCACTAGAGTTCGTTTCCCCTTTTGGTGCGGTTCGTTTGGGCAGGTGGGAATGCAGCAATCGTACTCGAGTGCGCACCAAAAGTGGACCAAATAAGCGTACCGAGACCTGCGTGAGGAGGTGGTCTCGGTACGCTTTCAAACAAACCCTGGAGCGGTTCATTTGTGGTGAGAATATGGTACTAAAACCGCAAAAAGTACTGCGCGTTTTGGACTAATTAAGCTGCCGTAGGCCGATGCGCTGTGCATTATGGGATATGGAGGGAAAATATTTGTTGACAGCGCTTTACCAACACAGAGAGAGAGAGAGGGGAAAACATTACCTGATGGATCGTTGGTAATATTTCCGCAAGATGACCATGTCGCAGTTTAGCTAAATTAATTCACGCCTGCTCCTGAAGTGACGAGCGATGCATTAAACACTGTTTTCCAGCCGCGGCCGCGCTTCATTTTCGTAATGTATAGTTTGTCTAAAGCAGGGATACAATCAACCAGCGCAGTCGTCCCTTCATAGTAAAAGGTTTTGTTTACCTGCGGGAGTTCACTGGCATTTTCCTGCACGTGAATTCTGACCAATCAATAAGCAGTTTAGGAAATATGTTAAACAACATCTGGCCAATGAGAGATGTAGATTTTGTCAGATGACTGCATTTTGGTTCGTTTCAACTGGTTCGGACCAAAGCCAGCAGTCTGGTGTGAAAACGACCCAAAGACGGCAGAAGATGCAACAATGTATCATTTTTTACCCTTAGTCCGGACCAAATGAAGCAAACTACAGATGTGAAAGCACCCTTAAAGTTGCATAGTGAGTAGATATAGAATACTGTAAATACATATACACTGTAAAAAAATAAATCCGTAAAATTTATGGTAAAAAAACGGCAGCTGTGGTTGCCAGTACTTTACCGTTAAAAGCACAGTACTAACCGTAAAAGTAATTTCTCATTTTTACGGTAAATTACCGTATTTTATAAATTTATATAGGTAATATGTCTGTATTTTCAATGACCAACATCTACACATCTTTTGTTACACAGTTAGACACGTTAGCACACCCACATGAAG